GCCACCTAATTATACAATTTATAAATTAAGGTTGGTGTGTTATTGTAATATTATGTTGTGTGCAATAAAGAGTATAAATAAATACATTAATTAACTAATACGTTGCGAAATGGTAAGTAAAATAGGTAAGATATCTATTCTGACTGATCGAATAAACATATTTTTGCTAATATGCGAATTCTGTGCCTAACGCATGCAACTTGCAAGGTCACTCGTAGCGAATCCTGATTTAATAAATCGTTCGGAAGAAATAAGTAGGTAGTGTAAGTAACAAATAAACCCGAAATACGATTCCTAAATTAAATGTGATTGTATTCTATATTATTATAATCTTGTAAACAAAGTCTTAATTTCAGTATTTTGTGTTATTATAACTTAACATATTTTAATTACAAAAGACATGTAAGTTACCTAATTAGAGAGTGAAGTAAATTTCAAGTAAGTTTTGAAATAAAATACTTAGGTACTCCTGTATTTAAATTATTACTTAATTATTTTTTGCTATAAGTATTTATTTAACAAAAACTGAAATAAATATACCTTTCATTATCCTTAGGTAACATAAAAACTGATATATCTGAATCCTTTTGTTTGCTCATAGCTAGTAGTAGGTTCGAAGTTTTGTATTATAATTTATCAAAGATACAGGTAAATATACACATATTATATTATTTTTAAATCACATTAAAAATCATAACTATTTTATCCTACAATTAAATATACTAAACACTAAACAAAAATTACAACTAGTGCTTATAAAAAACTATTTACGTAAACGGCGTTAAAATTTATCAATCGCTGACAACGTGCTAACCCCCACAGAGTACATTATATATATCTGGAACCTGCTAACCCCGACTGCATATTACACCGTGGGTGACTCAAAGAGCAAGAGTGTCAGAGATCTGACAGAGGGATATGCCTTGCGATGCCGTCTCCTTTGGTTTAAGGTCGGTCATATACATACGGAATTCCGTTTCGATATTCTGTTCCGTTTCGATTCAGGATTCTGTACCTACATGACAAACAAACGTTTTTTCCCGTTCGGAAAAACAAGGCTCAGTTGAGAGATGCTAGATATTGAGAACAGATATTCGCCAGCGAATATGGACGACGATATTGCGATTTTATTGTTGTTGTATCTAGCTAAGAAGCAAACATATTGCATTCCCTTAACACCTTAAGATTACAAAATAGCCTTTATTATGTAAAAACAGCTAAATTACGAGCCTATCCAATTTTTTTAAATACTGTTACGAGCTTGAGGTTCGTTACAATAAAAACTGCCGATTGAATTACCAAAATTTACACTTTCATTACCGAACACCAATTAAACTTAAAACACTAATAATTAATCACACTGATTCACTTTATTTCGCTCCGAAGCTTCGCTTGTCTCGCCAAATACTGCCCCGATCGCGGCATGCAGCGGGTTTAATTACACTTTTACATTCGGTGTACATCCAGAATATTCCCGTAGATACGGGCGCCGACCGACCAGACGCAGAAAGTTCGAGTGTGGGGCTTCTAGAACGCTTAATTCTTCTGTTCGATACTAGATGGCGCTGTTGGTCGAAAGTCAAGATTGACATTTTCTAGGAAGCCCTCCTCGCTCTTTTCCCCGACACTAGATGGCGCTAGTACCAGGTACCTGACGTCAACTTAGGCGCGCAACAATACTATCGTATGTGTATAAACTCTTTACACAAATTATTTCATTTCTTAGATCATTTCAGAGCTGGAGGAAACAGTAAGAGAGGTGGAAGAACTATGTTGAGTGTAAAGTCTATGGTGCTTAAGTCTTATCATGGAAACATCGAATCTACGACTTTTTCTGCCTCCAGGGCGGCGCCATTTAAAAATTAAGTGTAATGTTTGACAGATTTCATAGTGGGGAAGTTAAATTATTCGAAAAATGTAAAGAGAAATATTTGTTTTTGTACTATTAGTTATATTTTACATGGATTATATTATAAATAAATAAAACAAACCATTGAGGCATTGTTTTGTGTAATAATATAGTGCTCTAGAAACTGATAAGTAAACTTGTTTAAAACTATCTTCTCAATTAAATGGCATTGTGTGACAAACTAACAAAAAAAGAAAACTGATAAAGAACTTCTGTAGTTCTTTTGAACTGAGCTGCTTCTACGTAAGACACTCATTAAGTTTTAAGATATGTAAAAAGTACTCTAGATACTATTAATATTTTACATCTTTTCAAACTATTCTTCATCATGCTCTATACAAAATTCCATTCGCCTAAACCAACTCTGAAAATACTTTTGCCAGTCTTGATCTGACAGGTCGAAAAATGCTTCTTCGTATGCAGCAACGGCTTCTTCGGCGCTTGAAAAAAACTTGCATTTTACTTTTTCTTTGACTCTTGGGAACAAAAAGAAATCATCAGGAGCTAAGTAAGGTCTGTAGGGTGGGTGACTTAGAGTTTCAACACCAGAAAACTCAATAAATGCCTTTGTTCTAAGGGAGGTATTTGAAGAGGCGTTATCATGATGCAGTATGATTCCCCGAAGCCCCATCTTTGGTAGTCTCTCCCGCACAGCTTGAAAAGCTTTGGGTAATGCAACTGTCGTATACCACTCAAGAGTTGACCGACCTACAATTTTCCAGCATTAACGTCGATAAATGCCCGCTCCACGAAAAAAAACTAGCCACCATTTTGTTGCCGACCTTGCGAGGTCTTTGCAGTTTTATCGGTAACTGTCCTTCTGAGTAGACCCATACCGATGATTGTCTTTTATTTTCCGGATCATATTGATAGATCCTCGTCGACTACTAGTAGTACTACTAGATGTCTCGTCACTAGTAACGATTTCTGAAACACGCCTAGATGCCCTGTTTTCGGAACGTAGACGTATTCCATCGACAACAAAGTTCCTCACTCTAAGATGTTGATATAGGATGGTATAAATGCTCCTCGAACTAATGCCTATAATCTTTTCGATGTCCGTACAAGTGATTTGTGGGTCTTCAAGCACTAACATTTCAGTAGTCCATACATTTTCTGCCGTTACTGCTGTTTGCGAGGCCCCGGTTCTTTGATCATCTTTAAGGTTAATTTTACCCCTTTTTATTTCAGTAAACCACCTAAAAATTGTTGCGCGTGATGGAGCTAAGTCCCCTAATGCTGATTGTAACCATTGTAAACTTAATTGTTCGGTTAAACCAAATTTAAAATCATAATCGATCATAGCGCGTAAATGTTCACAGTTAAGATCTATCGTTTTAAATGAAAAGCGCGGGAAACGTTGCAGGAAAATTAATAGAACTTTGTTTCGTTTTTTAATATTTATCAATTGGCTTATAGAGTTCTACTTTTAAATAAATTTGCTTTTTAGAAACATATACCACGGGTGCGTTTCATTTTTAAATTTCGAGCATCTCAAAACTTATTCAGTGACCTACGTATCTGGCACAACCATTCGCTTCGGTTCCCCACACCTTGTACGGAATTTACGAATGTGTGTTGTGGTTCATACAAATTTCACAGAAGACTTGCTTTCTGAATGGACGCACAGGCGGTCATACGGAATCTTGAATCGAATAAAATTCCGTACGGAAAAATACCGTGCGTGTGTGTAATCGGAATCCCGAAATGGAATTCTGAAACGGAATCCCGAAACGGAATCTCGAAATGGAATTCCTTATTTATATGGCGGACCCTATATTCAAAGATGGGAAAACATTCTGAACGTATTTGAACTCTCTTAAGCTACGACTATATTGATTAACAATATCGTCAGAGACCGTCAGAACACAACTTATAGATGTCAACACTAGTCAACATGTCAGAACCCGTCACGATCGTAGACAGAGAAACCTATAGACTAATGATTAGCGTGGCCTCGATTGAGAAAGGACGATAACGTATTTTTAGGTTATACAATAATCTTTACGACTTTTAAACATATTTAGATAGAATTTTTAATTGTTCTAAGAACTGAACTGAACAAAATTCACCAATCCTAAGCTCACAAAACACTTTTTTTCTCACTTAAACCAACTTGTTAACTCCTTAGATCGCTACGAACTGTCAATGTTGTTTAGCAAAGTGTAGTTTGCTAAACAAAAAAAACTGGCACGGAGAAAGGGACAAACAATCACACCGCTCTGTCTCATTTCTATGCAAGACGTATGCATAAATCTATCTATTTCGTGGGGCGAATGCGAAAGAAGGCGTCAATTTGTCTATAGGTTTCTCTGTCTACGGTCACGACAGACACAACACGTCAGACAAATGTAAACCCGCCCTTATAATATATAGGACCACCAGAAAGTAGTATATTCCTTTGATAGGATATAGGAGTAATGGTGTTTTGTGGGACTGGACAGTTACTAATATACTCTTTGCTTGGTAGTCCGTGGTGTGAAATTTTGTACAAACATAAAGGAGTTTTGGCGGGAACTTGGCCGTAAACGGATTTTCGCTTCTGCTTTGTCGTTTGAATAATGGTTTGAAGTGGATTTTGATTTGTGAAAGTTATGCATTTTTGTGAATTAAGTGTTCGCGCGAGTGAACTATTAGAGAAAACGACGAAACAAGTGCTTTAATGTCGATATAAACGTCAAGTTATTTTGATCGCTTGGGCGCCTTATGAACTTGAGACATCATCAACTGTCCGCTGGGTTGAGTTATCGTCAAAATCTCCCAAGGGCTTCGCAATGTGACGCATCAGCATATTGTGAAGAAAAACATATAAAAATGAAGATTCCATAGATTATTGTTTATATGGAAGATTCCGAAAGAAATGATAGGCTCAGAAGAGCTAGAACCCAGAGCCGTAAAACGAGCTAATAAAAAAATACAAACAAACTGGTATTATGAGTATTTATATTAGTAGCTTGCTATATATTTATTTATCTAGATTTATATGTAAAGTATTTTTTTATTTTGATTTCGTACATAGTGATTTATTTATTGATGAAGTTGCGCTTTTTTGCTAATTGCGTTTTGGACATAGAAAAGCTGTTTGTATTAGATGGCGTTTCCTCAACCTAATGCTCAAAGAGGTTATATGGAAATTAAATTTATTTGACAAAAATTAATCATAATAATTATTTTACCGTAAGAATTTGTGATTGTGATTTATTTGCAAATAATTATTATAGATTGTTTTGTTGTAGAGTTGACCAATCGAAAAATATTAGAGGAGCTTCAATTGAAGAAACAAATGTTATTAAAACAGGGTGTCGTTGCTCCATTGACAGCTACTACTATTCCTCTTACTCAACCGAGCCCTGTTAATCAATTGCCTATGTGCTCTATTCCACCAGTTTCTGCTACAGCTGTAAGTGTTTTGTATTTAAAGTAAAGTAAAGTATAATGATTGATGATGCTTTATTTCTCAGAACTAAATCGATTAACTAGAATACTAGACTAACGACTCAAGTTGCAGTAAGATACTGCAACTTGAGATCATGTAATCCTTACTGTACTTTGCGATAAATGGTTTTAAATGCATTCTAAATGTGACATAAGGAATTCTAACAGAAAATGTAGTTCCTTAGCAGTAATTGTGTCTCATCGCTTGTAAAACTCATTTTGAATAATATTTAAGACTATGGTAGTAAGTTAGACTGTTTTACAGAAAATTTATGTGGACAAAAGATCCATTTGAAAGCTTAAATACCTCATATTATACTAGAACAGTTCCACTTTCATAGATTTCAACACTGGGTTACGACACTTGAGTAGCATTTATATATTTTATGAAGTCTAATGACAGGTTATTTATTTTTGTAGCTAGTAGGCGGAAAAATTTGGTAAAAGTATTGACAGTGATAGGGCTCCTTTTTTTTTGCATCTGGGTAAAACTATCTGATCTATTTCTGTTACCAAGTAATAGTAAATTCATTGCAAATCATTTCATTTTAGTCCTCACAAGTAGCAATATAACCAAAACTATCTATGTTTGAAGCAGGTTATAGATATTAATGAGTTGCACTAACCACTTATCCACATGTATATGATACTATACTAACTATTGAACTATACTATTGTTATAAATTTAGCCTTCTAGTTATAAAAGTTTCGACTTGAAGTTGATTATAGATAGGCCCATTACCAATCCTATCGAAGGCTCCAGCGTTTACCAACAGGAACCACTTTTAATAAAAATAAATGCTTTAGACAGATATACAAATGGACTAGCCATCCGCTCTGACTTCATATGGGTGATTTCTTGATCTCAACGATACTGCCACCTATTGGGTCTAATTGTAAATCTAAACCATTCTTGAATCAACTTAATCACACACATACAAATTTTCGTCAAAGTCAGTTCAGCCATTTAAGAGAATTTCAGTCAAACACATGGACATAAGAATTATATTATAGGGGAATTGGCACCGTTCGTACGGTTTTCACTTCTTATACTATTTTTTTACACTTAGAACAAACCTGAAATGTATATATCATAGTGTGATATATTAAGTACATTATATATTAAAATATATGTGTATGTTTAATGATTTCTGTGTTTTTGTATGAATTGAATTTGTATGAATCTGCCCCCAGTACACGGGGTATCTTCGTATGGAAGTAGGGGTACATTCATACAGCATTTAAAAACAATAATATATTTAAATTAACATTGTTTATTCATCAAAACATGATGTATACCTTATAATAAAAACTAATCACATCTTGTAAAGTACAAATGTTAAATTGTACTTTACAAGATGTAAAATTTTTAATTGATGTTTAATGTTAAATTTTTATAAACTTCTTTGCCTATATATTATTTAAACAGTCAAAAAGTAAAGGTTGACTAAGAATAATCAAGTCTTTTCTTTTCTCATTTATAATAATTCATACTTCGGTATCCTTAATGATAATTTTAGTCGACAAATAAACCGTACTATCAAAAATATAATAATCCACTATTATATGAACTAAGACTTTACTTATTAATTACTATATTCAGTCAAAAATTACAAATCACCCTTTGAATATCACTTTGATGTAAACAATAATTATAACATAATTAAATAATGAGATCAACTTCTTGGTGACAATATTATGTACCTATTCCAATTTTACTGCATGTCTTAATTTGTTAAGTTAACAGCAAAAGTAAAAATTCTAGAAGTACGAGCTCTACAAATTGAAGGTGATTTTGGATCAGGTAAAATCATTTCTACATCAGTTATGTACACTGTGTGCTCATCTTGCCATTTGAAAAAACTAACAACCATGATGATCCTGGTTTTTTTCTTAAATAAGATACATTTAACTCTATTTCAGAATAGTGGCTATTAACTTTTCCAATGTAATATACTATAGTTTTCTTCTTTGCAAATTTGACTAAATTAAACTGTTGTCCTTAATGTTCTCTGTTACAATATCAATAGCCATTTGTTCACCGATCTCTAAATCGTCATCTTCTTCAATCATGGATGTCAAACTTCCCATAAGCTCATATCAGATTCCTCAGAAGCTGAATCTTCATCTATTAAATTTTTTCTTGTCTTTTTAGTCCTCCTTTTCAGTCATTCGTACACGTGGGAGCATACATACGTGTACGAATGACTGAAAAGGAGGACTAGAAAGACAAGAAAAAATTTTGTAGATGAAGATTCAGCTTCTGAGGAATCTGATATGAGCTTACGGAAAGTTTGACATATGACTGTACGAATGTACCCCTTAGTACTTTATAACCAAAAATTAATCACATGACTAGAAAAGTGTAATTAGAGGATAATAAGTTTTATTTATGTATCAAATCATGTAAATATATTACAGAAAATCATTTTACAACAAGTACAACACAACTTCAAAGTGAAATAAAAAAAATACTTACCAAGCTGGTAAACAAACATGGCTGACATAAGGCGGAAAACACATGATAAAACATCACACACTACATGTAAATTTTTTTTCTTGACAAGTGTACAAATGTTCCCAGCCATACGAAGGGTGCCCATCGACCCCTATATAAGGATATAAAGATAATAAAGCATGATCATAAGCAAATATACAATTATTTAGTTTGTAATAACATGACTAATATAATACAAATTGCAGGGATTCCCCCAATTACCTGAAGCAAATATTGTAAACACAAGCCATAGAGCAGCTCTACAACACGCAAACGCTACTTCTTGTGGTTTCTTTGTATCACAAGACTCTTCATTTGGTAACCAGATTTTACCTGTGCTACCTAGATTTGATACCAAGTAAACTGTCTACTACATATTGATGCATTGAAATGTCAGCTTTAATGAAATTGAAAACATTAGAGGGATATTTACAAGATTTATCAGGTTTTACGAAACCCAAGATACAATATGAACAGTATGAGACTCCAGCACACATAGCTGCTGTTGCACTTTACACAATGCAGGTTAGTGTAATATGTGTTTTATATTTTTTTTATATCTTTTCAAATACTAATTATTTTATATGATTAAACGTCGAATGTAATAGAGGCGTCTTATAAGTTTGTAGTGTGTATCTGATCAGACAGCTTCTGAACTGATGAACTGATTCTGATTAAGTTATTTACATTTGAAAGGTGTCTTAATCTCTTAATCGAGTGTTCTTAGCTCATATATTTCAAGAAAATCTCATCAGCTCTTTTTCTCTGGAGTTTCCAAAGTTTTTAACTTAAGTCATATAACTTTATTGTTTCTTTAAGCTAAAAAAATGATTAATATATTTTACTAGACACAATTTGAAGCATTAGAAAATCGGTTAGTATTGGATGCTGGATGTGGCCCTGGGGTATTGGGTATAGGTGCTGCATTTTTGGGAGCAGGATTTGTCACAGCAGTTGATATTGATGAAGATGCTTTAGAAATAATAACGGAAAATGCAGAAGACGCTGAAATAAGTAATATAGATATAATAAAAAGTGATTTCCTCAATTGTAACACATTCAGGTAAAACAATATGTTAATGAATTAAAATAACTTGTGAATGGCGTTTATGGTGTACATATTATTTTTATTTTAATATTTTAGATGGGAGAACTATTTTGACACAGTTTTAATGAATCCTCCATTTGGCACAAAAAATAATATGGGTATTGATATGAAATTTTTACGAATGGGTCTTAACCTCAGCTGTGATAGTGTTTACTCGCTACATAAATCTTCTACAAGGTATTGTATATATTATAACATTATTTAAAAACCTTAATGTAATTCTATAATATCATCTGGACCAAATTTGTGTTGTGTGTACACTTGTCTCGTATCCTGGCCAGTAATCTAATACGGCCGTAGATAGATCAGATGCGGGGCTAGTACATGTTTCTGAGGCACAGGGGTGAAACACTGTCGACTTCCTAACTTGGGGCTGCAATTGAGAAATTCTTGACAGAAAAACCTGATAACTGGATGTAATATGAACCGGTATTAGAATCTGGGATCACATGATAAGCAGTCGCGTAATACAACTACTGGAGAAACAAGCCACGAAACAAAATAAGAACTTTATATAAGGTTGGGGAAAAAGTTTCTTCGTATTTCATAAACAAATTTAAGACATTTTCATAGTACCATTAATGTAGAGATCTGGATGGGATGGGATTTTTATCCAAAAAAAGCGACAAGTAATTTCGACAGTCCTCTCTTGATGTTGACCTAACACTACCCAAAGAATTCTGAAGAAACCGCAACAGGTGAAAATCTGTAGTGCAAAGTCAGGTATATGGTGGAAGAAGAAGAAAAAATACTACACCTTTTCTGTTGATCAGTTCCGGCCGTTTATTCTCTATTTCTTGCTTGAGTCTCATTAGTTGTTATCAGTAGAGATCCGAATCGATGGTTTTGCCTGGCGGTGAAAGCTCATAACCAACAATGCCCTTCCAATCCGACCACACGCACAGTATCATCTTATTGCTTGTTAATCCGGGTTTCGCTACAGTCTGTGGAGCTTGACTTCCCTTTGACTATGATCTTTTTCGCACGTTCTTGTCACAGGTGATCCACTTTTCATCACCAGTGGTCAATATTTTCAAAAATGGTTCAGTTTTATTATGTTTCAATAGAGAATAGCAATTACATATACAAATACATTGTTCCAAGACTTATAAATAACCTACCCCCAGAATTCCGCGACAAATTAAATATAAAAAACATTAAAAAAAACGTAAATTGTACTTTTTGGATAACTTATAATGGTCCTACTTAAAACAGCGTTTATGCGTTTGCTCAGGTCCTATTAGGCTGTAAATGCTTTCTCTTTTTCTTTTCTTACAGACATAATTAATTATACTTTAAGATAATGTCGACTTAGGTCGCGTCAGCACAAACCTTAGTAGTTTTTTGTATGCGACTTTTTAGCATAGTTTTTTCTTGTAATGCTTTGTGATATGGTAAATAAAAAAAAAATTGAGTAGGTAGACAATTCATTCAGTTTCTTTCAGTGAGCTTGTATGGTACCCAAATATCGAGCTTTTTTGTATAGCTAGACTATTTTTTTTTAAGTTTAGTTTAAGCAGGACTGTTTTCCACAACTCCACGTCTAAGCGCGTATTTTGCGTGTAGGCAGGGATAATGTGATTATTCAAGCAATGAAATCTCCCTGAAGAAGTTGAACAGTCCTTTGATGTTGCAAGCAACTTCGGTGAGCGATCCCGGCGTGCCGAGATGTTTAGCCTTGTATGTAGTGACCTCCGGACATATCGCCAAAACGTGGGTCGCCGTTTCTTCCTACCCCATACATGCCCTGCACAGGGGACTATCTGTAACACCTACGGTAAATAAATGTTTGTTAAAGAAGCCATGTCCTGTGATAGCACTTGTTACTATCCTGATCTGTGGCTTATTCTGTCTCATTAGAACCTTGGCTAAACAACTGTTTATTTCAGGCAGGGCCTCCCTAGCTTGTTTACAGTCTACTAGATTTTTCCAAAGCTGAGCGTGTAGATAAGTGAAGTTTCTATGTACCAGTGAATGAATGTTACTAAAGTGGATTTGTATTATTAGTTCCGGCCCTATAGTGGCCAGAGCCGATCATCTTCTGACCAGTTCGTCTGCTGCATCGTTGCTTTTGGATCCAGACTATTTCAAATGGGGCAACTTTTTTGTAGTTAATCCTCAATTCCTCGGCTATATCTAACTACTAATATGCCGATCTTGCTCCACTTTTTCAAAAATGGCATAGGCTTTATCCATATGAGTGCGACTAGAGCGAGCTGCATCTTTGACATCAAATTTCCTGGACGAAATACGCTTAAACTACAAGTTTTTTTTGCGGCTGAGTAGCATTTTTCCCTTTTTTGCAATAAAACTTCAGAATTTATCGATTTTTTTTTGTTAGATTCACAGAAAAACAATTGGAAAATGACGGTAAAGTGTTTTTTTACTTTTAATTTTTCTTTTCCTTAATGTCCCATATGTATTGATATTAAAACCAGCCAGATACAAACAGTAGAACCAAAGAGATTTTTTTTTAATTTAACAAACCAAAAACGAAGAAACTTTTTCCACAACTTATCACAAGTATAATCATCAAACTTTACCCAGAATACTGCTGAACTTGAGCATCACCCATAGTGGAGATGATTTGATATCATTTTGTTTTACTTTGTCTATGGACTGACAATCACTGGTCTAGGTATTTAAAATCTGTAATATACAAAATGGTTTAACACAAAATCAAGGTTTGGTTGGTTCGATCAAGATTCTTCTAAGCTTATTGTTTAGTTACACCAGTACTGAAAAATAAAAATCACATCTATCAATAACTTAGTTGCTCCTCAACAGTAACAGTAAGTTATTGGTAGATTTGATTTATCAAATCAAATTATAATGGCAGTAGCCAGGCATCATACATTATTTTTATTTCGGTGACAATTTTCTGGTAGCTAGAAGTGGCATAGTGTATTTAATTCTATAAAAAAAAGAATATTTGGACGGTTTAAGTATACAAGATACCCCAGCGCGAAGTGAATGTCCGACATTTGTTCATTATTTGGACAAAACTATCAACAATTATCATTTAAGTACAGGTCTTATCCGTTTTTTTATTAGGTTTTTTATTTTGGTTGTTTTTACAATTTTTTTTCATTCTGTTTTTTTCTTTACCATATGCAAAATGAAACAAGATACTTTAAAAAAGTAATTACCTAAAAATTTTCAGAAAAAAATACCCGTTTCTTTCTTATTATAAATAGTATTTAATTTCTGTGTAGTTTAAAATTAGTTTATTCTCTTTTTACCTGTGGTGGTACTGTTATCGCACTACAATGATGCATATGTACAACAACTTAATCCTTTATCACGTCGAGGACACCAAGTTACCAAGACACCAAGTTAGGTGTTTAGCCCAAATAGCGTGCTACGCATCCTTGGTTGACTATGTTGACCGACGAGAGATAACTCATTTTCTTCGTATTAGTAAAGTAAAAAGTTGAGTTGCATTCTATGTACGTTTTGCTGCTGCGCACAGGACTCATAAAAATTTCTGTGCGGCTATGGACTAATTTATCCGCTGCGCTTCTCTAGTGTGTGATTGGTATACTTTGCATGTCTTCGAAATATTCCTCAGACGGCAGGTTACAAAATGTTTTTGTTCAACACTGAGCATTTTGTAAATCAACGCTTAAAATTGCAAATTAATAATTCATTAGCACTTATGGGAATCTAGTCCGGGTTGCTATGATATTGTGCAATTTTCTGTGAGCGCATAACTCCTAAGCTCCCATGGCCCATATTGCTTGCTACTGCTAAGTTAAATGTAACTACTTGAATTAGTACAGTTTTATTGAAATAGGTATTTCAAACAACCAACAAACAAATTCATGTCTATTAACCTGAACATTTTCTAACGCGTCTAGTGATGTAAAATATCTTACAAAATTGCATATTTGATTTTTGCGTACCACATAAATGAATTTTCATATCAAGCCAGGAAAAAAAGTAATGTTACTTTGTTTATCATTCTCAATAGAATTTTGGAGACGGAACGTGTTTTACAATGGCTCAAAAAAAAGACCCAGAAGATATGCCAAAATATATTAAAAACGTGTTTTCCATGTTCCATTTCAGACTACGAAGAACTTGTTCATTCGTGATGTGTTTTATGAATGTTCAAAATAACCAGTTTCTTTTTTATAACTTATTTATTTTTGATTAGATACGATTTTAATGGTTTTATACTATGGTGTGGAAAGAAAAATAAGTATAGACTTTATCTAACAGCTGTTATAACCTTAAAATTTTATTTACTTAATAGCATTTTTCCCTGGCCTCTAAATGAAAAGATGATGAGGTTATTATTATGTTATTATAAACAATAATTGTTTTTATACAACAGTAGTTGTAGGTAGACGCGACCTGTTAAAGGAATCAAGTGATAGGGCAATCAATGTATGGAAAGTGGGCATGATTCTTTGACCCAGCGGCAAGTCGTCTTGTACAGAGATCGCCAATCCCCTGCTAAGCAATTTTTTTATACTTGCGTGTTTTGTAAAGTTGTGGAAGAAATACATACATTAATTGAATTCAATTAAAATTTGAGAGCCGTGGTAGCTCAGATGGTTAGTACTCGCGTAAATCGTGTAAATTAACAGTACGCGAAGAACCCTGGGTTCGATCTCGTCGGCACCAATGAAATTGTTAATTGCAATTTTAAGTGCTAATTTACCATGTGCTCGGCGGTGAAGGAAAACATCGTGAGGAAACTTGCATGTCTGAGAAATAAGGAAAAAAATATATATCGAAGACATGTGAAGTCGCCAACACGCGTTGGGGCAGCGCGCCGGACACTTCCTTGCCCTAAAACCCTCTCAGACATGCGGGGAGACCTGTGCCTAGTAGTGGGGCGTATATAGGCTGTAACTTTAACTTTATTTAAAATTTTAACCGTATAGTATATTTAATTATAAATATATAATTTGCACAGATTACACATCCAAAAGATGATAAAAGAGTGGGGTGTGAAGGGCAGCGTGATCGCAGAGCTGCGATACAATTTAGCAGCAACATACAAGTTTCACAAGCAGCAGTCGAAAGACATCGCCGTGGACTTGTGGAGGCTGACACATCCTCATACTTGACATATAGATAATTTAACTTTAGTTTTATTTACAAATAATATACACTATTACTCGATTTCGAAATACAGAAAAAATTAATGAAATAAAAATACGAAGATAATTTTGAGTTTTTTATTAAATTCTAGAATTACAATCAGTCTTCAGCATTGGGTATAAACAAATTAATTCTTAATACACTTTCTTACTAGATAAAAATATTATATTGTGTACAACCGAAACAGCGATATATTGAGCGTACAGCTTTGTCAGCTGGGAGAGTCAGATGATAGTACGAAATGCGTATAATTTAAGGGTCTTATCTTTAACTGCGTAGAGAATTATCACATTATATATAATTTGATACAATAATATACAAATAAATATTATTGTATCAATGGTAGTCAGCAAATCGTACTTTAAGCCATCGCACCTAATTTGAATATTAAAATATTATGAAATATGCATTTTAAGAAGTATACACCTACATAAACTATTAATAATGGTTACAGTAATTTTTAATTTTAGTATTGTACATAGGTTTCGTTTAAATAAAAATGTAGCTGGTAGGCATTGAAGTAATATGTACTACGTACTATATAGAAGAGACTGAAGCTTTGTCGTTTGTCATCTGTATGAGCCTACGAGCACAAACTTGTCTGTGCCATAAAAAGGTACTCTGTGGCCCGCACTGCTGCACAGATATTGTTCGTGGTGGCTGTTCTAGTTCGCAGTACATAATATTTGAATGCTGGCAGGGCCGCTCTACTGGTCGCCGAACTTGATGTTCTGCGCGAGTTTGATAGCGCCGGAGTAGTTGATGGTGACGGTAGCGCGGCGCATGTAGGCCTTCCAGGAGTCGGAGCCGCACTCGCGGCCGCCGCCCGTAGCCTTCTCGCCGCCAAATGCGCCGCCCACCTCCGCGCCGTTCGTCGGAATGTTCACGTTCACGATGCCGCAATCCGACCCGTGCGGACCGATCCACTGTCGCGTCGGTAAACATACGCTTAAATAGTAGTTTTTGGTAGTGGGCGATATAAATCGCATATATATATATATACAATATCTATATATCGGGCGACAAAATAGCAATGTATTAGATACCGCTGTAATACAGCATCTCTATACAGAACATCTAACATTGTGCTCGAAGAAATAATAATAACGTAAAATATATAAGTATCATACACTGATTCGAAATTTGAACGAACTATAACTACGTCAAAGGATACGAGATATTATTTATATTTGAGTGAAACAGTTATAGGTAACTACTCCGTCTCTTCGTAGTTTCGGAGTATGATAGATATTAACCACATATACTTATGATAGTAAATCTTAAATCTTAACAAACCAAATCCATTAAAAATGGCGTAACATCGTGTAGTACTGAATACCGACTTCCTTACAGGGTAATATAGAATCACGTAGATGCCAACCGATATATAGATATTATAATATATAGATTCAATATCAAATGTTTAAATTAAATGCATAGATAAGATTTATTACAGGGTAAAATTGGTATTACCAATACCTGTATATTGTACGCATTGGCGTATGTCGAGAGGACCGGGTGGACCGTTTACGTGATGCCCACCGCAAGATGTTGGAATCCATTCATACTTTCCAGCCCCATTAACTACTCCCATGTCATCCAGTAGGTGTCATAAAAGGTTAGAGACGGAAACTGAAACTAGAAATGAGCAGCAGCGTCTTTCTAATAACTATTTTTTTTTAAATATTACCTCCACACTAGGATTTTATCCTGTATCGTGGGGGCAGTTTACAAACATTAATTTCACAAGGACAAACATCCAGACCCGGAACACCTACATGTAGGCCATAAAAATACTTGTTCCGTGCGGGATTCGAACCCGCGGCCCTTAGCGCTGTAACTCATTGCTAACCGCCACGCCGCGCCGCGCCGCCGCCACGGAGTCGTTGCTCAATCACAAAAGCTGCGGTTGCCAACCTGCTTGCCAACGTGATAACTATGGCAACTATCCATCTAATAAGGCAATCTATCTCTCTTAACCAAATACTAAGATAAGAACTTAAATAATTTCACACGAAAAAATTTACAGCCGATTAATCGACATTTTAAATTTCTCTTGGTTAATTATTTGCGTATATTAGACTTTCGGCTTAATCGGCCATCTATTTTCAAGGGCCAGGCTTACCCCGAAAAATAACTAGATAGGTCAATATTTGTAAGCGATAAAGCCCTGCTGAAGCTGTATTATGAATGCGGCATGAATAGGTCGGCTCGACCCTAAAATGAGTATATTAAAATCGCAAATAATAAAATATCTAAATATGTTATCATCATCATCCTTAACATCCAAAATCTCATCATTAGTCAGCACTAACTTTGTAACAGCCCTTACTTGGCGCTCTTACAATTTTTCTTACGTTCTTACGTTTATATTTGCAAAAAGGTCGAACATTTTTACCAAATACAATGTGAAGTGTGGAATAAATAATTTCGACAATAAAGCCGATGTTACATACCTTGAACACATCTCCCAGGTTCTCAGTAAATAAGCTAGACGAGAGTCCCTGATCGACCTCATTGTTGTACTTTATGCCAGTCTCCAGGTCGGGGATTTCAATACAGTATACAATTGGGGCGAAGCACTCGTTCTTCACCAGAGGGGAGTCGTGGGGGAGGCCGGTAATTATTGTCGGCTCTACGAAAAACCCTTCGCGTTCAATCACCTATAAACATTACAATAAATCAATTCAAGACTAAAAGTTCGTAAACCGGCTAATTTTGTGACAACTGTGGTAGAGCCATGCTGCAGTTATATTAGTAGTATAGTTGTAGCACGAATGCGTCGGCTCGACCGAGGAAGGACCACGCTCTCACAGAATACCAGCGTAAAATAGTAGCTTAATGCTGCTGTGTTTCGTATGGTGAGTGTAGAGAACCTGAGACCCTTTTATTGGAAACGAGGCATTCCACCTAAGTCCTCACGGGTGACAACGCATTTGCATTTTGATTTGTAATCGAGGATAGATGTAGATCTCTATGGGCCGCAGCAACCACTTACCATCAGGTGAACTGTGTGCTCGTTTGTCACACTATCCTATAAAAAAAAACTTACAGCTGCAATTTTATAGCCGTCAAGTTGCTATATATAACGCGCCACGTAGTGCAATGTTGCTTTACGTTTATGAATTTTTCTTTTGATGACTGCTTGGTAATACACTTGAAATAACATTATTGAAATATATGGACTCTGCAAGACATTGCGTGATAACATTGCAGGGTTAATATCGCTGAAAATATTCCCGGTAAGATTTCCAGCAAGATGCAGTTTTTAAAGCGTTTACGAGCCCTTTCAGGTTAAAAAGGTTATTCAAAAAAAGTTCAGAACAACAAGAAAAGACAGCTTTAAAATTTCCTACCTATTAACGACTGTTGAGAGATATGACAATCTGAGTAGTTACATTGTACCAGTTCTGGCGCACTGAGTCAGAAGTGGTACAAGTACGACGTTCGTCGACTCAGGATCCTAAAAAAAAAAAGTTTTGGCATGCTCTGATCACGAATCTGCGGTCCATTATTGCGTAGGATGCCCAGTTCCGGTGATGTGCAGATCAATTAACTCATCTAATTGATATCCGGTGAAGGCCTCCACCATCATTAGCGCTCCATTGTTCTTATCTACTTATCTATTGTTCATTGAATACCGTCATTATCTATTCTTCCTCAGCGTGGTGCTATTGTATTATACTCCTTTGTTCCTCATATATAGCAAATACATTAAGCAATATTCGCCACAAACTGAAGTCCACTCATTCTGAATCCTATCAACATTCCAGTTCCATCTTTTACAATTCCTTTTTAAAAACTCTAGATGATATCGTACATGTGCTCGTCCATATAAATCAAAATATTGACCGACGTCATTCGTATCGATATATAAAGCTACCCAATGTGACCCTGGTTTATCATCTGTACCCAAATGCATATTACCTAGTCAGGTCATAAATTCTATCACATGTTTAATATAAAATAATTGAAACAAGTTTATTCATTATGTAACCATTTATATATCAAAATGAACTTAACAAAACATAGATTCTTATGACACTATAGTTTATTCAAAATGACCTCCGTGATTTTGAATACAGGCCTTCAATCTGCGCGGCCAGTCGTCTATCGCAGCACGAACGAGGTCCATGTCAATATCGGCGGCTGCCTTAATCAAGGATGTCTTGAGTGACTCCAAATTGGTATGAGGCTTTGAGCACGCCTTTTCCTCCAAGTGTTGCCATATCTTGTAATCTAACGGATTCAAATCTGGACTGGAGGAGGGCCGGTCTTCGTGCCGGATGAAGTCGATTTCACGCGCCGCCAGCCAGTCTTGTGTGCTCTTCGCTCTATGAGCTGACGCCGAATCTTGTTGGAATACCCAGTGCCTGTTATTGAACATGGTATGAGAAATAGGTTACACAAGGTTCGTCAGGACTGTATTTTGATAAACAACTGCATTTGTTTTTACACCTTTCTCACAAAAATGTACCTCTGTTAAGCCCCAATAAGAAACTCCCAACCATACCATGAGCGAGGATGCAAAATGACCTCGTTGGACACACGGAATACGGTTGCTCGCTTCTTCACTACTGTGTGCGTACACCTTATCATTTTGTTTGTTGTAGCTCTCTTCTACGGTAAAAAAATTTTCATTGATTCGACTGACGATTGACACACTTCGTCACAAGAACAATGTAAAATTTTGTGATTATTTTTTGCAAATATATGATTATTACACACATAACGTTTGTTTAAATTTATTACATTTACCAAATCATTGTATTTTGGACATTTGTATTCTTCAATATTAAAAATTCTATCATCCGTCGTCAACATTTTAAAATTTGTTTTTCTGTTGAACCATCTTTGTATACGAGTACTATAACTAATGTTTTTGGGAATCAAACAAAATTTATGATTAATTTAAAATTTTATTTTCAAGCAATAACCACTTGTAAAAAACCCACACTTCGTCACA